CCCATCAAAACAAACTTTCACAAAGCTCTCCCAAGATGACAATATCATGGACTGAGTTTGTGCAGCCTGCCGTTGCTATATTACGTTCACTGCCGGCCCCGTCAGGCTCATAACCACTTTTGGAAAACGTGAAAGTTTGTAATCTGGTGAAATTAATCTTGGTACAGAATCTCCATCTTCGTTTCCTTCTTTTCCAACGTCGTCGTGTGGCTTCCGGCGCCTCATAAAATGTTCATCATCACTCCCTTGAACGCTTCCTCGCCTCCCGGAAACCAACATCGACATTCCCAGCCGAAGCCTGAATCTCACCCGACGCGATGACAAATGAAGATGAAGAGATTCCACCTCGCAAGAAGAGGTATTAAAATTGGAAAATGCCGCACACACTTTTGAAGTTTATTTTCCTCACATTCCTGGGGAAAACTTTTCCGACAGCTTGAAATTAAGTCGCATTCAGCTCTCAAGCAACTCCAAGGGCAGCACATTGGAATGGGATGATCACGTTTCTGCCATTATCATCATAGGTCCAGGGGTGGCGAGGAAAGAAATTGGGAAATCACTACCTCGGGATCACAGAATAAAAATTCATGGCAAATGAGAGAAATTGGACCCGAACAAATGTCGAGGTCCGAATTAAGACGTCAGCTGTTTTAAGTTCGAACGTTTAAACGACAGTAGGTTTCTGCAAAGCAAGAAATCGACAAATCTCAGTTTGATGTGTAGACAGCGCCGAAACAACGAAATTTAGCCATTCCGATTTCAATCCCACTGACGACCGTTGGAAATCTATTTCTCAAGATCCCATTTTCCCTTTTCCAGTTGAATAAAACAAATCACGTTTCGCCGTTTGACGGCAGAGCCATCTTGGCGCTCCAGCTCCAGCCAAAACTAGTTTCCTTTTGAATGGACGTGGACATGGAAACGTGGGATATTTTAATAATCATTGGGTCCAACCAACCGGCTGACGACAACGTGGCCACACGATTTCGTATGCAAAACCCGGTGTCCACATTCCGACAGTGAAATGGGTGTTGTTTCGAGTTGTGGAAATTGAATTGAATTTTCCCGGCGGTGTGCGGTGTGCTTTCTGCACTTCGATTAAAAGGAGCTTGGGTTGATAAAAATGTGCTTGAGGCGAAAGTTTTTGAGACTTGCTTGATTTAATTTGAATTCATAATCTTTATGCATGGTGGTTCATGTCACTTGCGTCAGGTCGATTATCAAACATTATTCCTTATGTTCTTATGTTCGCTATCCGAATGAGGTTCAATGATTTTATGATGAATGTGGATTAACATAAACTGCCTGAAGGATAATTATCGGGCTGCCTTCCCTACTCCACCAATTTGCAATTTGAGGGGAACAAATTTCATCATTTTTTTTTTCGTGTTGGGTATTTTGATCACTGCGACAAGTACATATTCCCCGTTTTAATATTGCTTTATCAGCATGTCGTATCACCATTCTATGAAGCCACCGACATAGACTGACCGAAAGCATTTTCCCAGTCAGGTATTACATTTCGAATGAATTGCACTACTTGGCTGGGAACTGAATTCCAAATATCAAAGGGTTCTGTCAGCCCCTTATCAAGAATAGCAGGTGTTCAGAGTCTTCTTTTTCTATGCCACATAATCGACACATGTCCTCTTGAAGTTTTCTTATATTTACATGGACAGTGCCCTGTTATTAAACCAGTGTACATACTGAGATCTTTCTTGGATAGTTCAAGAATTTTGCTAGTCATTGAAATGCTCGGATTAATAAACCGTTTCGACTGCCTAGCAATGAGAGTGTTGTTTCAATTGGTCTCCACTTTCATTTTTTCCCATTTTTTGATTTCCATTCTAAGAGAGCAACATAGCAAAAAATAAATTTTAATATTACATCCAAGAGGATGCACTTCAATCATGTCGAAAATCTCATGTAATTTTTATGGCCACAATAATAAACAAATGCAGTAAAAGCAGCGTAATGTCAGTTCATGCACTGTATTAATGATAATTTTGTCCGTTTTGGCAAGTAATATTACACTATATTTTCGACACGATTGAAGTGCATCCACTTTGATGTGATATCAAAATTATTTTTTTGCTGTGAAGCAGAAACTCCACAGAATGGTTCTGGTCCTATACATTGTTGAGATGATTCAAGCCTTGCTAGTGTGTCGGCTTTCTCATTCCCTTGAATTCCGCAGTGACCAGGAACTCAAAATAGGTTCACTTGGTTTTGGCAGGCCAATTTTTGGAATGACATTGCACATGCCCATACAAGTTTAGAATTACATGTTGCTGATTTCAAAGCATTTAGTGCTGCTTGGCTATCAGACCTAATGCAGATATTCGAATGTCTATAATTTCTACGCAAGCAAAAATTGCTTGCACGGCGAATGAGAACGACCCAACTTTGAGTTTAGTTCACTCATAATCGCCAAAAGTGCAGGAACTCAGCGATGAGTAAATTTGCCTCATGTTTTCCCAGGTTTTTCCAGGGAAAAATTCCCGAATTTGAGAAAAGTAAAGATTGGATTCACTCAGTCTATTGGTATTACTCCGAGACTGAATAAAATTTTCATCAATTTCCTCATTTTCCGGCAGATTTGTTAGGTTTTCCACAAGAAACCATGAGACAAATTTAACTCATCGCTGCGTTCCTGCACTTTTGGCGATTATGAGTGAACTAAACTCAAATTTGGGTCGTTCTCATTCGCCGTGTAGACTTCTGCTTGGACCACGGTAGGCCTGTTGCCCATAGATATTGAGATATTGATTCCTGGACCCTTGCTCCTACACGATTATCCAATCTAGAGCCGTTGGTATAAAAGATTAACGATCCTGGACGAATGTTTATTTATTAATTAATTCATTTCGTCAAGCCAGTGTAGACTACATACAATGATTATTACAATGTTACACACTTACATACTAAGCATTAATTCTATTCTGTTTTAGCTTAGTTTTTATTTGCTGCTTGGACATAGTGATGTCAATAGTTCCGCAATGCAAATTATACAGGCACATCATTCCATTGATTGGGCTATTTTTTGCATAGTTTGTTCTGTACGATTTTTCAGAAAATAAATTCCGTGTTTTAAGATATCGACAAGGTGTATAAAAGTTTAATTGTGCGAGAATTTCTGCCGAATCTATGCGCATTGAAATAATGTCGTTGATGAAGAAAAGCATTGCAAATTGGTGGCGCACCTTAAGTGTTTGTATATTGATGAGCATAAGACTGATGCAAAATTTGAAATTTTCGCTCCACAGTGCTCAAACGGTTCCAAATTGGGCCCTGATTAGCCTCCCAAAATTTGAACTCATCTAGTTAGAAACTGACTTGGCACAAACCATTTGAAGTTTATATGGGAATTACTATGAAGAAACCATAATTTCGGTTCATATCTATCTCAAAATTCATCAGTTCACTCTACTTTAGAAAATGATAGCTGAGCTTGTTGAAAATTTTCTCAGCTACAACTTTGTTCAAGACCACTTTTCGATCAAATGTAAGGAACAAAAATTATTAATGATTCAAGTCACTGATGTCTCATGATTATGCTCAATCAACTGTTCAGCAGGCAACATTGGTGTTTATGGCGCGTAGAATAGAGGCTACTATGTCACACTGCAGAATACAGTGTTGCCCACAATACAGTTGCTTAATCTTGCCATAAGATTATTAATCTCTTAAACAATTAATAACTATTTAATTTGACGTTCGGCTAAAAAATGATTTTCTGCAAAGTTGTAGCTGATAAAAATTTCCATAAGAATAGCAATAGAATTTGTTAACAGTACAATATGTAAAAAGGCTAGAAGACAATGAACAAAAAGTTTTGTTTTCCCATAGTAATTTCCATATAAACTTCAAATGGTTTGTGCCAAGTCAGTTTCTTATCAAATGAGTTTAAATTTTCGGAGGCAAATCAGGACCCGCTTTGAAACCGTTTGGACACTATGGAGCGAAAATTTCAAATTTTGCATCAGTCTAATGAGCATGCAGCGCGCCTCATAAGATAGTGGAAACCCTAATAAAAATAATCATAAAAGAGAGCTTAACGTCGTATCATCCAAACCATTTGTGGGATAGTTTACCCAACCGGGATACAGTTCGTTTATGGTATTTGTTTATTAGGGAATGCAGTCCAATTCCATTTACGTAAAGCATATAAAAGAAATTGTTTTTGGACAGATTCTATGCGTTGTTCGTGTGTGGAAATATATGGATTCCATACTAGGTGGCAGTATTCCAGAATTGGCCTTACATATGTGGTGTGTAATAGGGTCTTCGAAATTTTGACTGAACCTTTTAATGAAGCCTAGCATTCTGTTTGCTTTACTAATGATAGTATTATAATGTTCTATAAAAGTTATTTTGGAGTCTAGGATTACGCCTAGATCTCTTACAAGTTTTGCATTTTTCTACTATTTGGTTGCCTAATGATATTTCAATTTGCGGTGTTTCAATTTTTCTGCTAAATGCTAATGCTATTACATTCAGGTGAAGTAGACTTTTACTTCGTCGGTGTTCGCGCGACATCTGTGGACGTTACCCTACCAACTGAGATGTGAACAGTTGTTCTCATGCAGCATCCAATATACCTCTAATTGTCAGTCTTTGATAGATGACTATCTTTTCCTTTCGCTGCAAATCATGTCATCTCTTTTCCCCCAACACAAAATGAAAATGCATTGAATCAATAAAAATTAATTGAACTGTATCGCTGAACTAATCTACACGCGTCTTTTCACTCGTTTTTTTCCGAACGTAATTTCCCGGGTTTTCCGTGTTTTTTTCGGGCTCTGGCCACTCCAAAAAATGGTCCTTCGAACCGGATCGGACCGAAGGTGAACAAAAAGTGCGTTTTTATCCGCTTTCGTCACCGTGTCACGATTCGCGAAAGTGAGTGCTAGAGTGAGGTTGGAATATCACCTCCGAAAAGAACATTCTCGGTGAAAGTGGGTGAAATTGAAGTTTAACGAACATTTAGTGAACTCACCATGGACAAACTTATTCGCGAGAGGAAATCGCTAGAAGCGCGATTAAACCGAGCATCGCAAAATGTTCACAAGCTTCACAAGAACGTGGCGCTACAAGATAGTCAGAAGCTCTACTTCCTCAAGACCAATCTCGTCGGAGAAGCCGCCGCTCTGATATCGCACCTTCGCATAGAAGACGCTAACTACGCTCCCGCTCTAGCTAAGCTGAAGGCTAGATACAACAAACCACTCGAAATCACAGCACAGCACATTCATCGCTTCTTAAATCAACCTTCAATGACGTCACCGTCCGCAGCTGGTTTGCGCTCCCTGCATGATCTGTCCGATGAAGTGATACGAGCATTGGAGGCCATGAATCAGGAAGGAAGGGACATATGGTTGCTGTACATCTTAGCAGAGAAACTAGATCCTGAAAGCAAGCAGTTGTGGTGTCAGAAAAGGTCGGAGCTAAACGACGATGAAGTTACCTTGGAGAAGTTCCTGAAGTTTGTTGATGCGCAAAGCTGTGCACTGAAATCCGTTCAACCGATCCGCCAGAAGAAATCGTTCATCACACCACTTCCAAGCAAACCTCCTACCCGGGGACCAACAGCTCTCGTCACCACCGGGTATCATTCTCCGTCACCAATGTGCGTTTTTTGTGCAAAATCACCGCATCAACTGTATCAGTGTGGTAAGTTTCTACACGTCAGTTCCGATGATCGACTCCGTTTTATCCGTAGGCATGAACTCTGTGAGAACTGCCTAAAGCAGCATTCCGGTGAACCTTGCCAGTCCGGCAATTGTCGGATATGTAATCATCCACATCATACTCGTCTCCACGAGGCACTCCAACCGCCAGCATCTTCAACGCTAGTAAGCAGTACAGCGACCACAACCAATTCATCTGGTTCGTCTTCAATGTCGCAAATGCTCATTTCGCCCCTAAGCCTGGCTACCGATTTGACGGACACCAACGTTCTACTCTTAACCGCTACTATCAACGTCATCGATAAGTTCGGGCGCTCGCATACCTGCCGAGCAGTTCTTGATTGCGCATCCCACACAAGCTACATCACTGCGGATTTGTGCAAGAAGTTGGGTCTCTCAACCACGGAACTGGATTTTGAATATGGTGGAATTGCAGAATCTCACGGTCACGCAAATCGTGGAGCACTAGTTACATTCGCGTCACGTTGCTCGGACTATCGAAATGTAGTGCCGTGCATTATTCTGGAGCGACTTACTTCCGAGCTCCCACTAAAGCCGATCAATATCGCAGATTGGCCAATTCCTGGATCGATTCCGTTGGCTGATCCCCAATTTCACCATCCAGGAAAAATCAGCATCCTTCTCGGCAACAAGCTTTTCTTCCAGCTTCTCGAGCCGGGAAACATCAAACTTGGTTCGGACGACTGCCTTCCTGTACTACAGAACACGAAGCTAGGTTGGGTGGTTTCTGGTGGCTACAAAAACTGTGACAATCAACCACGCACTAATGCTCCTTCGTGCTTACTGACGGCTTCCACTGATCCTCTCTCTGATCAACTTCGCAAATTCTGGGAACTGGAGGAGTACACGAATACATCTCCACACTTCAACGAAGAAGAGATTCGATGCGAAGAGCATTTCACAAAGCACACGATTCGCGATAGTTCCGGAAAATTTATCGTTCGGCTCCCGTACTTGGAGAGCCCTACTTCTCTCGGAAAATCGAGGGAAATTGCTGAGAAGAGACTGCTGCATCTAGAGCGCAAATTGGAAAGGAGTCCTAATTTAAAAGAACAGTACCATTCCTTTATGCGAGAGTACATCGACCTCGGGCATATGAGTCTTGCCACTACACCAGCTTCGGAGAATTGTGTTTTCCTCCCACACCATTGCGTCGTAAAGGAAGATAGCTCGACGACGAAGTGCAGAGTGGTTTTCGACGCTTCAGCAAAAACGAGTAGCGGCAAGTCTCTCAACGACATCCTTCCAGCGGGCCCTGTATTGCAGGATTCTTTGGTCAATATCTTACTTCGATTCCGGTTTCCCCCAGTGGTACTCGCTGGTGATGTCAAGCAGATGTATCGAATGGTGCTGCTGTACGACGAAGATCGAAACTACATCCGAATCTTGTGGCGCTGGTCAGAGGACGAACCGATCCTGGAATATTGCCTGAATACCGTTACTTACGGTACCAAGAGCGCTTCGTATCTGGCGACAAAATGTGTGCAGCAGCTGCTGCTCTCCCATCAAAGGCAATTTCCAGATGCAGTCAAGAAAGCTATTAAGGGGATTTACGTCGACGACGTGCTGACGGGTGCTGATTCTGCTGATGAAGCCAAGCATCTTCGACAAGAACTTTCCATCATCTTCTCTGCCGGAGGATTCCACCTGCGGAAGTGGGCTTCTAATAGCACCGAAGCCCTGGAAGGTGTTCCTGAAGCGGACCTCGAAATGAAAATTCCCATCGGGCTCAATGAACCCAACACCATCAAAGCCCTCGGGATCCACTGGCAGCCGTGCAGCGACGAATTCCTGTTTAGCGTCCAACCAACCAAGATCCTTCATCCCACAAAGCGCATCATTCTCTCCAACATCGCTAGTCTTTTCGACCCACTTGGTCTGCTCGCACCTATTATCATCAAAGCGAAGCTACTGATGCAACATTTGTGGGAGCTGAAGGTGGACTGGGATGCTATTCCCCCCAGTGAGTTGACTAATATATGGCAAGTTTTCGTGCAAGGTCTGGCCCTTCTCAACTCTTTTCAGATTCCGAGACGAGTTATCGGCACTAACAAGACGTCGCGAATCTTCCTGCACGGCTACAGTGATGCATCCGAGCGAGCCATGGGTGCCTGCATATACATCCGAGCGGTCGACGACGCTGGGAATCACAGTTCCCATCTTCTCTGCGCGAAGTCCAAGGTTGCGCCAATTGGAAATAAACGCACGACGCTGCCACGTTTGGAGTTATGTGCTGCAGTGATCCTCGCACGGCTGATCAACAACGTAACAAGTGCCATCAATCAACCCTTCTTCGAGATACGAGCTTGGGTAGATTCAAGTGTTGTGCTTGCTTGGTTGAACGGAGGTGCTTCTCGCTGGAAAACCTTTGTTGCCAATCGCGTCGCAGAAATCACAACGCACGTACCAGCAATCAATTGGAGCCACATCGTATCGGAACAAAACCCTGCTGATCTTATTTCGCGCGGGGTGTCGCCAGAACAAATCCAACATAACACTCTGTGGTGGAATGGTCCCGCATGGAACACAATAGGTGAGCGAGGTGAATTAACCGACATCCCTGTACTGACCAACACTGACCAACAGCATATTGTTAGGGAGCAAAGAGCAGTAGCCGTTTCTCTTATCACCGTCTACGAAAACGACTTTCTCGATGGGATGATGGCACGATATTATCCCGATCTCACGATGCTGCTTCGCGTCACTGCTCGTATTCTTCGGTTTCGATCTCCTGACTCTCGATTGATTGCTCGTCTGTTACCACGCGAGCTTGATCGAGCACAAACAATATACATTCGCCACGTTCAGCAACAATACTTTCGTGAAGAGCTGGATCGACTTCGACAGCAAGTAGAAGTTAGCTCTCACAGCAGTTTGCACCAACTCAAACCGTTCCTGGACGAAGAGGGTGTGCTCAGGGTGGGCGGAAGGTTACAACAGTCAAGCCTCAGCTACGACGTTCGACATCCTATATTGATACCTCGCCACTCTATTCTCACCTCGTTTCTGTTAAACCACGACCACATCGTCCATCACCACTGCGGGCCCCAAACACTGTTAGCCGTATCCCGCAGACGATTTTGGATCATAAGTGGTTCAAGTGCAGCAAGGAAGGTTTATCGCCAGTGTGTGACGTGTGCACGTGCCAAGTCCACACCTAAGTATCAACAAATGGGTCAACTGCCATCGGATCGAGTTCAACCAAATCCACCATTTGCGGTCACTGGCGTGGACTATGCTGGTCCAGTCAGCATTGTTGGACGAAGGACCAGAGGTGCGAAGCAAAGCAAAGGGTACATTGCTCTCTTCGTTTGTTTCACAACAAAGGCCGTACACATGGAAGCTGTGTCGGAGCTTACTACTGTCGCGTTCCTGGCAGCATTCACTCGATTCTCCAGCCGCTACGGTTTGCCAGCAAAAATGTTCTCGGACAACGCAACAAATTTCCGAGCCACAGCTAAGCACTTTCGAGAAACGTATGCGCAAATCAACTCTTCTGCACACAACAATGAAGTGACCGATTTTCTGACCGATAAGGGAGTGGAATGGAACTTCATCCCAGCTCGGTCTCCGCACCATGGAGGATTATGGGAGTCAGCAATCAAGGTTGCAAAGCAACATCTTTCGAAGATCACCAGCAGCTACATCTTTACCTTCGAAGAACTTTCCTCGCTGATCGCTCAAGTTGCTGCCACCATGAACTCGAGGCCACTCACGCCGATCTCCAATAGTCCGATGGATGATCAAGCTCTCACTCCTGCTCATCTTCTCATCGGTCGGGCGCTCACCACCGTTCCCGAAGTCAACTTGCTGGAACGGCAAATTTCCTCGATGTCACGCTGGCAGTTTGTCCAGCGCCTCTCGCAAGAATTTCGCAGCAGATGGCAGACAGAATACGTACGATCTTTGCAGCGGATGACGAAGTGGCAACGATCATCGCACAATATTTCGGTCGGCGACTTCGTTTTGCTAGTGGACGACAATTCGAAGCCAAGACAATGGCCTACTGGCAGAATCGTCGAAACCTTCCCAGGACCAGATGGATTAACGAGAGTGGTATCAGTAAGAACAGCAACTGGTACTACTCGGCGTGATGTTAGGAAGGTACGAACTATACCATTGGATGCGGATGAGTATGCTCCAAGAAGACTTCAATCATAAATTCCTGTGAGGAATTTGGTGGGCGGATTATGTTCGCGCGACATCTGTGGACGTTACCCTACCAACTGAGATGTGAACAGTTGTTCTCATGCAGCATCCAATATACCTCTAATTGTCAGTCTTTGATAGATGACTATCTTTTCCTTTCGCTGCAAATCATGTCATCTCTTTTCCCCCAACACAAAATGAAAATGCATTGAATCAATAAAAATTAATTGAACTGTATCGCTGAACTAATCTACACGCGTCTTTTCACTCGTTTTTTTCCGAACGTAATTTCCCGGGTTTTCCGTGTTTTTTTCGGGCTCTGGCCACTTCAGTCGGTATTTTACTACACCAGGTGTGGAATGTATTGATTTCATTCTGAAATTCTTCTGCATCGCTAGTTTTACTTATTTCCATGAAGAGCTTCATGTCGTCTGCATATACAAGTAGTTTTACTTTTGACGTAGAACTACGTCTTTGTCGACTATACTGGGGTGCAAATCAAAAAATATGTGCGGTGAAATAGTGTTAGTTTTTGAACGCTTGTAACTTTGTCATTTATAAATGAAAATAAAATCCAAATACGCCAATCGATAGCATGTTACATTACAAATCTGTTGAAATAAATATTTTTTTCCATTTTCCACAAAAAAAAAAAAAAAACATTTGAAAAATGTACAAACGATAATTTTATCTCTGTTTTCATGAAATAAACGATTTTCCCTAACCCAGTCGTCATAATCGAGTAACATTTGGTTGTACATCGTTTTGCTTGAACCTTAATAGATATAAAATAGCACTGCTGTCGTGCTTTTGCTTATTAAGAACGGAGATAACTTTTTCAAAGGGACGTATCAGGTTTTGTAAACAATGCATTTGATCGTCGATTTGACGTAATTGGTTGCTCGCTCACACATGCTAACACTACCATCAGATAGGGAAAATTTTCTCCTACCTGCTAATTGTGTTAGTAAGCGTGTACGAGCTACCAGTTACGCCAAATTGACGATCATATGCGTTGCTGATACGTTCTTTTTAAAAAAGTAATCGAGAAATGATGATTATTCAACCACCGCGTGGTGAGTAGTAGTGTTCTTCAGTACACAACGAAAGGCTGCCTGCAAGCAGCGAGCATCCATAGAAGGAGGAAGCACCGCTATTGATCGGAATCAGTAGCTCTTCGTGAGTCGCTGTGGGCCATGTATATCAAGCGCGTCATACTAAAGAGTATAAATGCTCAAATTCCTATTCCTACACAAAATACAAGCTCCTGCTGCAGTTAACAAATAAGATTTCTTATATAAGACCACGTAGTCCTACATCATCATTGCGTACAACCCCATAGGGCTGTCCCTTTCAGTTTTTTTTTTTTTAAGTATGTAGGAAATGCCGTTTATGTAAAAAATAAAAAGAAGTGGCCCTAAATGAGAACCCGGTGGTACCCCAGAGGTGACTGAAATTGGTTTTGAAAGTTTATTTTGAAAGCGGACTATTTGTTTACGATGTGTAAGGTATGATTGAAGAAATGCAAAGAAATCGCGGTCACGATCTTCTTCGGAAAATGTGGTGTATACTTCTTGGAAGAAGTTTTCAAAGAGATTGCAAACTTCAGATGGATTCTCACCTACATATGCATCCAAGTTCATTCGCGAAGGAAAAATGGCTACTTTTGACGTAGGACTACGTCTGTGATTTCTATATGGGGGTCAGGGCTGAAAAAATCACTGAAATTCATCAAAGTTCACTATGGATGAAAAATTCATTTCATAGGAATACTGGTGATTTTTTCATGATTTTTTCAACTCTGATGGGGGTACACTTTGTGAAAACCAAAAATGAAACATGGAACAAAATTATGAAAGATTTGAACGTTAATAACTCAGCTGCCCCTGGACCAATTTCAATAATGTTATCACCAACCGATAAGAAGTATTCTTACGCATCTGCTCAATTTAAGACTTTATCATTTTACTGTTTACGTTATCATTTTACTTACATAACTAAAATTATCACCGATTGCCTGCGAAAAGCGATTTCCCTAACACAGATTTCAAAATTGAACTCCATCCGGTCTCACCATACGGTGTTTATTCAATCACCACGTGGTAAGTGGTGGTGTCCTCCAGTACACAAAAAAAGGCTCCCCGCAAGCAGCTAGCTATCAAGGCTGCCCTCAACCGCTGATCGCATTCAGTTCCAATCACCGTGTGTGGTGGTGTCCAGTCATCGGCATCAGCAGCAGTGCTTTCTGCAAGCAACGAGCTGCGCCCACATGAACAACCATAGAAGGAGGAAGTAGCAGCACCGCTATTGATCGGAATCAGTAACTCTTCGTGAGTCACTGTGGGGCATCTACGTCAAACCCGTCATACTATAAAGTATAAACAGAGAGAATCACGCTCAAATTCCTATTCCTACGCAAAACACAAGCTGCTGCTGCAGTTAACAAATAAGATTTATTATATAAGACCACGTAGTCCTACGTCACCATTGTGTACAACAATTTCGTATTTAGACAATTAAAAAAGGTTCTTAGGACATGACTTGACTTCATTTTCGACTTTGCGGTTATAATCCTCATATGCAAAGTTGATGGCTGTATTCAGTTGGTTGGATAAGTTATGATAGTTTCGCAAATTGGTTTCAGTTTTTTCTTTTTTGTATAGTTTATGAGCTTTCGGTTTTTTATTTTTCAGTTGTGGATTGAACCATGTGGGTAGTTTATTTTTTTGTGTTCGTTTTCTTTTTTTGTTGGTACAGTTTCTAGAATTAGGCTTTGAAGAATTGAGTGAAATTTTTCTACTTCAGAATCGAAATTTCCTTCAATACTTATTAAATTCTGCCAATTTATTGTATATAGTCTACGTTTGGCTTCTTCTTAATTTGCTTTATGGTATTCCGGCAGTTCCTCGTATTCCCAGTCGCTGGAGGAAGAAGAATTTTGTACGAAGATTGAGTATTCAATTGCTGTGTGAAACACTTCATTTTTTCCATAAAGGTGCTAATGATGTATCCACACAGAAGTCTTCAGTACCATTTGTATATAAAAGGTCTAAATATGATTTTTGTTGATGTTTTACTTGGTTTATTTGATTAAGACCAAAATAAGATATTTTGTCGAATAATATTTGTAATGTTTCGTCTTCACCTACGACTGGAAGTAAAAATGATTCATTTTCAATGTCTGTAATAAAGACTGCGTTTCGTTGATTGAAGTCGCCATAAATATGCAGTTTTACTTCTGGTTCCATATTTGACATTATAGTTTCAACAATTTGACGAAAAAAAAAACAGTTCAAAAGACTGCTTGTGGGCAGGGTGCCTTTCATTCATTTTGGCTAAAAAAAAGTTTTATGAAATTATGGAATAATAACAAATTATAATAATATTTTGTTTGTGTAAGCAACAGTGAAGTTTGTGTTTGACACATAATACCTGAAAATGTTGCTGCATGAGAGTCGCAATAAGCGATTTTGTCATTTATCTCACCCACTCTTTGCTCTTCACTCTTCGCGAAAAGGCGATCAGAAAATCGCTCATTGTGGCTCTGTCAAAGCTAAATTTGCAGGTTTTATGTGTCAAACATAAACTTTAAAATCTTTTCTTGTTCCTTACAAAATGTCATCATAATATCTTATTGTTCCATAATTTCCTAAAACATTTTTTTAGTCAAAATGAATGGAAGGCACCCTGTGGGTTTGGTCCCCCATTGTCCCACGAGTCGTGATACGCATCTTCTTCATTGTCAACAAGATCGAGGTGATATTTTTTCTTCATCCAATCTTCATTTTGTATCACAAGAGAATCAATATTGAACATTTTTAGGATGCTCATATGTCCTCTAAGATCACCTTCAGGAAAGTGCTGTGACCGTCGGATCCCTAATGCACTCCTTTCGGCTTCTAATTGAATAAATTGATGCAACGGAAGCAGATAAAGCAGATGAGCTGATTTTTCATTGGTTTTAGTCTTAAAATCGTCTAATAAATTCACTGGATTAATTATTGTTTTAGTTTAGTTTGCTGTCAAGAGTAACTCCTAGATACTTGACTATGTTTGAAAGTCCTAAAATTATTCCTCTCAGTTTAATATTATTTAAGGACACTTTTTTCTTCGTGTGAATGGCATAACAGTTGTTTTGTTTTATCATTACAATACCGCAAATACTGATTAGAACATTCAACTTCCTACATCAAGTAGAAGCTTCAGATAGCCTAGCCAGTTATCATCGTACAATTCGTAGTTGCTACTCCATTTAGCAACATTTTCACAAATATGCAAAAGAATGGGACTTGGGACTAGCAACCCATTTTCAGTGTACCAACTCCGGTGAATCAGAACTGCTATGTTGTGTTGAGCCTACTCTACGCCAAAATTCTCAAATCAAGCGATTTTCTGAAATGCAAAATTCGATCGAATGCAAAATTTTCTTCAAAACTTGCAGTTTCGGTCTTTAAACTAGAGTAATAAACTTTCTGAAATGGTTGGAAATGCTATACTAATACCAACAGGAAGCTTTAGCTAAAGCTAAAGTACGGCAGTGTGAAAATTGAATAGAAGTTGAACACATTATTATTATTATTTAGCTTTATTAAGGAGGCTTTCAGCCTTGGGCTGGTTCGCCTCCAATAGTTGAACACAGCCGCAGACAGTAAGAAGTTCATTTTCTTTTGTCCCCCTTCTAAACATTCGATATTTTGACCATTCAACCTTTTTTCCCCCTTCCCTTCATTCGACCTTTTGTCCTTCTTCTAATCATTCGACTTTTTGCCATCATTTGACGGTTAGTCCACTCGACATTTTGTCCCCCTTCTCATAATTCGACCTTTTATTCAGTTTCTCATAATTCGACCCTTTTTTCGCCAGACCTTTTTTCCATTTGATTTGTTATCATTCGACGTTTTGTCATGATACCTTTAGTATTTCACGCATTTGTCATACAACCAAATTAAATCAACAAATAATATTAGCTTTTACATTGAGCAAAAGTCAACTCAATTGGGTTGAATGGGTTA